GGGGGGGGGGGCAGAGAGAGAGGGGAGACACAGAATCCGAAGCAGGCTCCAGGCTCCGAGCTGTCAGCACAGAGCCCGACGCAGGGTCCGAACCCACAAACGGCAAGACCATGACCTGAGCCGAAGTCAGATGCCTAACCGGCTGAGCCCCCGCCCCCAGGCACCCCGTGACCAGGCCTTTTCTCCTTGAGTCGGGTTCGTGGGGGACTTGGGCATGTGCGGCTGTGAGAAGCCCTATCACGACGGCCCCTCTGCTCACCTCCCCTGCAGAGTTCGTGAACATGCGGGAGACCTCGATGGACATGAAGTCGGTGACCGACCGGGCGGCTCAGACCCTGCTGTGGACTGAGCTCATCCGAGGTGGGCCCTGGGGGGAAGGGGCCGCACAGGTGGGGCATGGGCACAGATTGTTGGGGGAGGAGGGGCCCCCACCCACCCACCACCACGCCCATGCTGCCCACAGGCCTGGGCATGACCCTGAGCTACCTGTTCCGGGAACCGGCCACCATTAACTACCCGTTCGAGAAGGGCCCGCTGAGCCCACGCTTCCGGGGGGAGCATGCACTGCGCCGCTACCCGTCCGGAGAAGAGCGCTGTATCGCCTGCAAGCTTTGTGAGGCCGTCTGCCCTGCCCAGGTGAGCCACTGTGGCCCCTGCCCTCGAGGAGGAGGCTGCAGCCTGTTGCGGAGAGGGGGAAGCTGGGCAGCCTGGGGCCCGAACTCTGGTCCCCCTGCTGGCTGTGTCCCCAGGAAAGCCCCTTTCCCTCTCTGAGTCCTGTTGCCGGGCCGGTTCAGCGTTAGTGAGTCATCGGAGGCAGGCTTGTGGCCCTGAGCGGGCCGTGTGACCCACGTGACATGACCCACGTGGGTCCCGCGCCTGGGGATCTGGTCAGGGGCGTCAAACCTGGGCTTGGGAGCCACGGGGCGGCCCCTGAAGGTCTCCGCTTTTGCCCTGAACACAGCAGCAGTCTCAGGAGCTGTGCACGTGTGCCTGTCACAGGGCCAGCCCTGAGGACATGCGTGCCGCAGCTGAGGCCCTCCCTGCCCCTGGTTGCTGCTCCTTGGAGCCCCCGGCTCCAAGTTCTGTTGGAGGGTCCCACATGGACCACCCAGAGGCGGGGGCTGTTAGTGTAGAAACAGAAACATCCAGCTGAGGCTCCTGGGCAGGCCCGTGGGCGTGCCCAGCTGGAGCCCCAGCGGGCACCGTGGTCACTCATCACCACACAGTGATCCTGCCCCTCCCACGCCGAGGCTGCTCCAGGCCATGCGCGGTGGCCTCGATGTCTCTGATCCAGCCACCCCGGCGCACAGAGAAGAGCCCCCAAACAGCAGAGGTGGTAACAGTCACCGGGCAGTGAGCAGCGTCCACGGATCAGGCGTTGTTCCAGCTCATGACTTATCTTTACATCAATCTAGGATGCAGAGGTGATCGTCCCTGTCTTTATAGACCGGGAAACTGAGGCACAAAGAAGCAAGGCTACCAGTCTGGGGTCCCACTGAATGTGGGCATTACACTGCTGGGGGGCACGTGAAGGCCTTTGGCACACCCTTTGAAGGTCCTTCGGGCTGTGGGAGGTTGGCCTTTTCCCTGCTGGCACAAAGCCGTACCCAGAAACTGAGGGTTAAAGACCTACCTTCGGGTCTGGGCTTTGAGCCTCACTTGCTGTGTGGCTTTGGGAAGCCCCTCAACCTCTCTGAGCCTGAATTTTCTCATCCCTTAAAGGGGGATAACCAGACATAAATGGGAGAGCTGTTCAGCGTGCAACCGACAGCCATTGGGCTAGTCCTGAGGACCCCCCTCGGGGCTACAGGCCCTGCAGTGAACGGAGTAGGCAACAGTCCTCCCCTCGTGGGACTTAGGTTCTCAGGCGGGAGATGGCGGCAGTTAACAAACAAGAAAAATGTCAGCCAGGGCACATGCTAGGCTGTGTGACGGGGGCCTCCTGGGAGGGGCGGCAGGGAAGGCACATCAGGCTGAAAGTGGGTGGCAGGACCTGTTCCATGGCCCCAGAGCGACCCCTCCAGGACAGGGCAGACAGGGGACAGGAACGAAGGGTAAGGAGTGCCCTGTGCCCCTCTCCCAGGCCATCACCATCGAGGCTGAGCCGCGGGCCGACGGCAGCCGCCGGACCACGCGCTACGACATCGACATGACCAAGTGCATCTACTGCGGCTTCTGCCAAGAGGCTTGCCCCGTGGACGCCATCGTCGAGGTGAGTGGGCATGGGGTTGGGTGAGGCCGGGGCAGCGGTGCCTTGGAGCCACCTCACGTGGCCGCCCCGCCCCCGCCTGCAGGGCCCCAACTTTGAGTTCTCCACGGAGACACACGAGGAGCTGCTCTACAACAAGGAGAAACTGCTCAACAACGGGGACAAGTGGGAGGCCGAGATCGCCGCCAACATCCAGGCCGACTATCTGTACCGCTGACGCCCCCCGCGGCCCAATAAAAAAGCTCTGCCCTCCCGCACCGCCTCTGTCCTGAATCCCGGCCACGGCCTGTGGACTCCTCCCCAAGACAGGTCCTTCAGTGGGGCCACCAGAGGTGGCCCGGCCTCCCTGTGGGACTCTATGGGCCCCTTTGGGGCTCCCTGTGGCTGTCAGCCCAGAGCGGCCCTGCTGCACACCCGTCTTCTGGGCGATGCCTCTAGGCTCGGCCTGGGGTCTGCTATTCCCATAATCCTGGGTGCCCACAGGGTCGGGGCTGGACCTGCCCTTGCCCGAGGGCCTCCCACGACTCCACCCTACGGATATGGAGCCTGCCAGAGCCTCAGGCAGAAGTACATCAACCGCAGAAACTCAGGCCAGGGCGTTGTCCTCCCTGGGGGCAGGGAGAGGCCTGCTGGGGGTGGTGGGTAGCTGTCACAAGGAGGTGACACAGACCCCGCTGCGCCTGAGCTGGCCTTGTCTCATCTCCAGCCACATCCCCTTTCCTCCCCAAGTTCCCCAGGCCAGGCTGCCGGCTTGGCTTCTGCTTGCTCAGAACTTCCGGCTTCGCAATCCCGGCAGCGGCGTGGTTTCCCTGTGGGGCCACACGCTAGCCCCGTGTGGACAGAATCGTCGGAGACGGCTCCCTCGAACTCAGTGCCAGGGCCTGCGGAGGGACTTCAGTATATTCTCAGCTGTGAGCAAACAGCTCAGAGAGGTGAAGTGACCGGCTCGGAATCACACAGCATGCGTCCGATGAAAACTAACTCGGTCGGAGATCTGAGTCCCCCTTCTCCGTCATTTCCAAAAGTACTTTTTACAAAACACTAACCACCCATGATGTTTCACAGAAAGAAGGGAGAGGAGGGTGTTCTGTGAACCAGTCAGTGCGGGAAATGCCCCAAGTGCCCTCTTTCTGTGATAGGCACCGCGTGTGACCACGTTCAAGGCTCTGAGAAGGCCTGTAGCAAAGAACCCCAGCCTTTCCCCAACTCATTCCCCAGGACACCCCTTTTTCTCCTCACTGCTGCTAGCTGGGCCATCTGGTGCTGAGGTGGCCCAGGACCTGCTTGGGCCCCCACAGCCTAAGGAACAAGGTGCAGAGCTGAGGAGTGAGAGCAGGCCTGGAAGGGAAGACCGGCCC